ACCCAAAGAGCTAATACAATAATATATTCCATCAGCCAGCAAGAAATGAAATTCAGTAATGGTCTACAATTATATGCATTCAGGGCACAAAAAGATACAAGTGTGGAGAAAAATACAGATCTGAAAAAGAGGAGGCTAAGATTAAGATAAAATTAACTAGGGTCAATGAAATTCTGTATTCTGAACAGCATATGAACCAACCTTGCGTTGATTACTCATACGAGTAGCAGCTAACGGGAGTTCTGCTATGTCTTGTCCGAAAATCCGAATGATCCCTGCTGATACAACTGATGAGCTGCAAGAATTATAAAGAAATTGTTAACCAAAAATAAAAATATAATGAAGAATTGACAGCTACCACAATTGGGAAACCAGGTTCTTACTTCACCGTCAATATAGCACAGTACATTCCACTAAAGTCTTGGCCCCTAACATTCCTTCTGCACGTGTGTGGGTGGGTTCGGAGGGGAGGGGTATTATTAGACGATATATTGATATAACAACATTCAAGAAAATTATCTATGCCTAACAAAGTGCAAAAGGAATTATGCTTACCCATAAACCATAGATGGAATGAAGTCTCGTCCAGTTTCTGTATCAACAATAGGATCAAAACATTCCTGAAAGAAAATATACAATTTCAGTATGGCCAGCTTCTCTTAGACAGTTTAAAAGCCAAAAAAAGGAAGTTCCATAAGATAAGACCATAAAATCACATTATACAACTGCAAATAAGGCAAATATCATGGCATGTGAAAAATATGATAGACTTGATCAAGGGGTAGCAGCAGCATCAAACTTCCAATCAGAGAAAACCATAAAGTTTACAATTAGACCCGTTTCCATAACATTTCCCTTTTTCAATTTTTTTCTGCTGTTCTCCACCCTGAAACACCAATTGAAAGGATATGATGACTTAAAGGCCAACTAATGTCCACACCAAAAATTCACCCATCTTTGACGAGAAAAAGATGCTTCGAAGATACAACTCAACCTTGAAATCTTTAGCTGTACAAGAGGCTACAGTCTATAGTGAATAGACAGAGCATTCCAATAAAAAAACTATTTTTTGCACTCAGTAGTATATTACCAGTTTACGTTTGTATTACATGAAGATACAGCCTCAGAACAAGAACACTGGTTTCCATCAGATATGAAACCAAACATTTACTAGTCACTGGAAATCTTCTTATCAGGCATCTAAATTTCATTCGTTTTTTAACAGAAAAATCACTTGAGCATAAAACGAAAAGAACTGAACCAAAAACATATTTGTATCGAAACCCACACATAACACAAATAGATAGAAACTACAAAAGGGTGCTTGTGGTAAAGTCAAGCTCTAAGCTACCATCTTGTTAAAAGCTAAAAGAAACATCAAACCCTTGCACACTAATTCTAATTGTGCAACAAGTAAACCACGGGCACATCATATTTATTATAACGGGAGGGAACTGACCAAGACTATGAACATCAAAACATGATCCAAGAATGCTTACGTGAAATATAGCTACAGCCTGTGAGAGTAACACTCGGGTTTCACGAGAAGAAACTTTTGCATTCAAAAGTCTCCAACTCACATCAAGATTAGTATCAGAATCCAAGCCATTTTCCTTGTGCTTCTTCCTTAGATCACCCAAAGAAGAGTCCGAGAGCTTTTCTGCAGCCCCAGAACTCACCAAATTTTGCAATGCAGCATAGATCCTCTTGCAATCCACAGAACAGAACCATTTTCCTTTGGGAAGTTCCTATTTTTCACAAGTGCATCAAATTCAATTTCAGAGATTGATGTAAGAATAGTCGACACAGACAATAGATCATCTATACAAAGAGTAGGAACAAACCAGTCCAATTATATCATATATACACACCTTTAGATCTGCCATCTTGCATTTTTTCAGACAGCCCACGTGATATTCTTTCTCACACTGGGAAGAAATGAAAAGATAATTGGTACATCACTAAATTAATGAGGAAAACCTTAAGATAAAACCTGGAAGAATACCTGATCACACAATATAACCGTGTGCGGACCAAAACCAGATTTGCTATAATCATAGCCTCTACAAATAAAATAAGCTCGGATATTCAGAATGACTATTATAATTGGGGAAGGAAGTTATTCAACAAGTGTATACAGCATTCAAAATGACTTGGACACTAGTATAAAGGTGAAGATAAGGTGAAGATCAAATGTCAAAGATTTTTTTTGTATTTGTGCATTACCGGCAGATTACACATGTAATAACTTCCAATTCTCCAGGGTTCTTGACAATACGAATGCAACGATTCGTTATCTGCTTGATCGGATCTACACCTGACACCCTACCGGCTGCGACTGCATTAGCATTATGCTCTACGAATCTCTCCCTTTGAAACATGTTTTGGCAATATGTGCAGTACCATTTTCCTGGAGGTATACTTGACAAGGATGCACATTCTGCATGGAAAGATGAGAATAATATTGAACAAAGCAGCTCACTCAGATTATAACCCTTTGTATCCCTAACAGGCAAGGTCCACAATCAGAAGAAATTTCCAGATGCAAATAATACATGATAAAGTTAAAGTTAGGGCTTCCACTGTCATTCTGGTTTGAGCTGCAGACATTATTTAAACTAACTCATGCCAAGTTTGATCTTTTTCAGGTTCATTATATTCTTGCACATAGCTCTAAAATGAGCTCAACAAGCAATCAAGTTAGAAATATGACTGAAACAAAAGCTAGCAATTGAAGGCCATTTCAAGAAGACTCCTCGAGGGTAAATGAGATAAAAGAAACAGGCTCCTGATTTTAAATCAAATTTCATAGATGAGAACTCACCGGTTAAAACAATTCATTAAGTTAACCCATCAATAATATATATTGGTAACAATGGCAATTTAGAAGGACGAGGATAAAACTATCCTCCCAAGTCAGAATTTTATAGAAGAG